GGATTGGAAGAGCATTTTAGAGCGGACAAGTATTTATAAACGTGCCTCCCACATATGTAGAATGATATTCACGTAATAAAATTGCGTAAACTGCTTCTGCCTAACGTTTGGTTTTCTTTGCGAAGCTTGGCCGCGATTTTCAAAGCTTCAACGACTTAGGTCACGTGGAATTCATGTCATTAAAAACAACGATAGTACTCTCAGATTGGATTCATGGGAGTTGGCAATATGGAGTCCCGACAGAGATTCGTGGAATAAAACGGCGAGATGAGAGAGAAGCTTCAGTGTGTAACTCGGCCACGTGTTTTTAATAATTGATAATCTACGTAGAGGTTTGTGAGAACTTGATGTAGGTCCTGGAACTGTGGCATAATCGTTCCATTCTTTTTCACGACCGCGTTGAACATTATATATTGAGTTGATGCGCAATCTTAATTAATGTTGAACTAATAATAATATCAAACTAATGAAATGTGTTTATATATTTCTGCGATCTCTGATAAACTTAATTAACTAAATAAAATAAATTCTCTAATAAGTATAAAACCATAGTTTTTATGACGCATCAAGATGAATATGACAGATAGCTATATCTATGCGCATTATATTAAATATATAAACAATTCTGAATGAAATATAAATTTTAAGTATAAGTGAGAAGAATATACTATTATGTAATTAGTTAAAGCAAATGCATAAATCTGATTACTTAGAAAAAACATGATGATGATTAAACAATTTGATGAATTAAACAATTTTTAAAAAATATTTAAAAGAATCAATTTAACTTTAAAACGCACACGTGCAATAAGATTTTCTAAATAAAACATTATCACAATGTATTTATTTAAAGAGAGTTTTGATCCTAATAATAATAGCCTAAAATAATAAACTAAAGTAATAATAGAAAAAAAAAATTATATAATTTTGAAAGATCTATTTTGCGGATAGTTAACCCGATAGGTGAGCAGTCTCATTCTTCTTAAACGGACATAAATCCTTTCGGCTTAGCGATTACTTCTGAATCGGACAGCAGACGGCGGCCGGGTAAAAGTTGCCGGACAGTACAATTGCGGTGGCGATGAGCTTCGGACCTTTTCAGGACTGCCCGATTGTCGTCGGTAATCGTTTTAATAGATGGGACATCAAGAAAGTTAAAACTGACTCCGCGGAAAGTGGCCGCAGTTAATCTCTTTTTCGAGCTTCCGTCATGGAATGAGATTTGTGTCGATGAGCGAGTGAGGAGAGAGAGAGTGCGGGCGCAAAGTGGGAACGCCTAGGTATGAGCGGATCCATACACGCGTACACGCACACCGAATCGCAATTTCGTGGGGAAATGCGTGCGTGGGACGAACCAACATACGCGCGCAACGATGACGTGTAGCGGATATCGGTGTGCCCATGTGCGAGAGAGTCGAGAGGTAGAGAGGTAGATTTAGGGTGGGTAGAGACGGAACTTCTCCGCAGCCATTAGCCGCACACTCGCAAAGCCTCTATAACACGATTCATACATTTTCCTGGAGAATGAAAAACAGTATAGGTTTCGAAACACTAAATCCAATCTGAAACAATGACGGCAGCGGCTGTCTGCTAAAGTCACCAATCCTCTTACTGGATGGATACTTCCTTTCATACTCCGAATTATCCTCCTTGTTATTATTATTATTATTCTCTCTTTATTAACAAGATTTGTTAAATAAATTTTGTTAAATGCGCCAATAATTCGAATGACCGTTCTTTCCTTTCTAATCGCAAGTCTTTTAAACTTTTGCCAGCGTTGATTAAAAATACAATTAAATCGTGTAGAAACTTCTAGTAGCGTCAGTTAGCGGAAGTTGTACGTTGTGCGCTCGATATGTTTTGTTTCGTTACGAAGTAAAAAATAATCAATATATATATATATCAGAGAGTTATAACTTTATCAAAAATACGTGTCATCACCCGTCTCGAGTTGATGACCGCGCTGAGAGATGCTGAAGGCGGCATATTAAAAAAGTTTTTCTCATACAGCAGCCTGGCCGATGTGTCTCCATGCCGAGCGACACGCCTCGCAACGATAATTCGCACGTTCCGCGTGTACGTAAGCGAAGCACGGTGGTGGACGAGACTCAGGGGAACTAATTCCAGGAGTTTATCTGTCCGCCTGTGGCTCCAAACATCCGAATCGCGAGCGTGCAGCAGCAGCAGCAGCCCTTTGTAGGGATAGATTGTAGTAGCAGCGGCAGCAAGCTGTAACCGCGCAACGGCTGTAGCCTCAAACGAGGCGCACACGAAGATTTCAGGCCACTTTGCGTTCTTTCGCACACGAACGTTCTGTCCCTCCCTGAGTAGTGGAGAGACACAGGAGGAGACTTCGGTTAACGGCCGGTGCGAAGCAACGGAGAAAGCGCGGAGTGTGAGAAATCGATGAATGCGATCGAGAGGTAGCCGCGAGAGGTAAAACAAAATCGCAGACAATTCCTTGGCCTGTCTGTGTTGCGCTTCTCTCGCTCTCGCTACTTCTTCCTTTCGTTCCTTCTTTCCTTCTTCCTCTCTTTTGCGC